AAATAATAATTTCCTTTATTACGTCAGTACATCTCATAATTTAATTTCTGAAATATCAATGCAGATACCAGACGCATTCTAAACTGCTGATATACAATTCAATATAAGCTGAAGATAACACCATTTTGTTGCTATGTAACATTTAACATTACTTTTGGTTTAATTCTATTTATTTGTTTTTTATCTTACATTTATTTATTTTTTTTGTAGAGACATGTTCAGAAACCATTTCTTGATATCAAAATTGGCTAAATTCTGGTAAAAGATCAAGGGAGGCAATATTTTTCTCAAGTTGCTTCCGAGACCACTTTGATGTTAATCGTAACATCAGGGCAACAGAAGTCTGCTAAGACTTTAAGGACATCTTCGCAAATTCTTTCCTTCTAACATTATAATATAGAAAGACCTTAATCCAAATGGATTTATTCTCTTATACCAAAAGATTATCTGATACTAAGAAAAAGTCATCTCTACTTGAGAAAAAGCCAATTAGACTTCATTCTTGCACCTATTTTATAGAAAGGCAACTGAAAGGTTCAACCAAGCAGAAATATCAACCTTTGAGAAAAGATTCCTTTTAGCTTTCTTTCATGCAAAAAATAATTTACTCCATGAAGATCAGTTCAGATGAAGATTCAACACATTTTTGTCAAATGTTGGATGCTCTGACATATAATTCAGGACAAATTTTAGTTTTCATAAACCCCACTGATTCATAGTAATTTCTAATTAACTTATTTACCACATAATAATTGTACTTAAGACAATGAGACTTTATTTATCCAGAATAGAAATTCAGAATTTTAAAGGAAAAGCAACCATGGTGATTTTACTATGGTTACAATTCTAAAAGGAAATAAATAGGCAAATAGTTATGTGTAAATAAATAAGCAAGATATTCAGCAAATGTGTAAAAAGAGAAGAAACAGATCTATGTAAAAAGAAAATGAGAATTTATATGGCTAAACAATTAGCAAGAGTAATATTTTTTAATATTATATGTTGCTGTAACCTGATCATTCATTCATATACACAGGGTGCGATGAATAAATTGTCATCTAAATTATGCAAAAATGAAAATAACACTGACATCTCACTTTAACAGATATATTTATCAAAATTACACAAAAATATCTTCAAATACTAAAGAGTATATTCAATAAAATCACTATTGGCTTTGACCACAGCCTCCAGACAACTTCGGAATCTCCTGCAACTCTTCTGGATGGTCTCCTTGTTTAAGTCGGTGAATGCTGCCATGCAGTCTGGGGAGTTAGGTGACCAGATGTAAGGGGTGATGCGGTCGTGGAAATTGTCTAACAGCCATGACTGGGATCTCCTGCTTGTGTGGCATGGGCAGAATTCTGTTACCAGATATAGGGTCTTTCAGCAGCCACCCTATTGACTCAGGGCAGCACTACCTCCTCAAGGTATACGAGTCATCAACAAATTCAGTTCTTTTCTTATCAGATCAGAGTGAGTCACTCATCCAATTCTTTCCAAATCATCTGCCTGTCTTCAGATTAACACTCAAATACTCTGAAATGTTTGTATTGGAGCTTCCATTGCAAAATACCAAGCAGTACAGCATGCAGTATCCAAATTGTGGAATGAATTGCATTATGGTGGTCACAGACAGTGCCTAACTAACCCTACTATACTGTTCAGTCAACAAAATCAAAAACAAACAACACACATGTGTGAAATTAAAAATATAAAATGGCAACAATTTACCCACCACACTCTGTATGCTACAGTGGGACTTGCTTTAATTTAGTTTACAAAATAATTAATCTAATGAGACAGTTAACCAACACAGTGAATATGTGTCAAATACTTTAATTTACATCCACTTTCTATAATTATCACTTGTCAAATATTTAATCTACATATGGGAAGTTCAAAATAAATGAAACCATTATATATAGTTATATGCAATTGATAAAAAGTTACAATAATAATCTTCTAATATGGAAGAAACATTCTTTTTTATTTTATAAAACTCATCAATACAATTTTTCTTCTTAGAGCCCCAAAATATGTCAATGCTTTTGAACTGAATTCAAGTGACAGCAAAGGTCATTTTGTATTCAAAGATCAAGTCCAGTTACAAGTGATAATTATACAAAGTGGATGTAAATTAAAGGTCATTTTTTTTTAAAACTGAATCAAATGTGGCTAAAATGGGAGGTTTTGAAAACAGCCTGAATTATAGGAATATAAATTATACTCCATATAAAAACATTTCTGCAGGCAAGAGTATTGGGAAAGAGATGCATATGTTATAGTCATCTGTTTATCTCATCTGTTTTATAAGATGTAGCTCCATGTTTGGTCAAAATTCAGTCTTTTGCTGGTGAGACTGGAGTGACCTCTCCCAGGCACAGGCCTAGGTGATGGTATATTGAAACTATGTGCTGCCCAGACCACGTGGTTTCCCTCTTGGTTGCAGGAGTTGCTAGGAGATTGTCAATGTTGACAGCTAAACCTCTTTGGGGCTACACTCCAGATTTTCTGTCTGGATTTACTTCTATAGCCATGTTTGGATATAACTCCAAGGCAGAGGAGGTTTAAAATCAGTTTTCCTTCTCCTATATGGAGGTCACCAGTTTGGGAAGTCCATCTACTCAAAGCAGCTGGTTATAAGGTGCATGTGGTCTGTCTTCACCCCTTCTCCAGCTTAAAAGATGAATTTAGTTGTTAGATGCTGTCTAGAAATGCACATTATTGGAACATTTTATAGGCAGTGGAGGCTTGTCCCCAATACACCCAACTTTGACAAACCTTTGGAATATATATAATGTAAGTATATAAACACTACATACATTACATGTTTTAGAGTCCCCTCCCCAACATAAACCTTAAAATATATCTATATATGTAACTTTAAATAAACAAAAACGCTAGAAAGCAAGACAAATTATGAAAAAGTCATACATAAATAAACAACAACAAATATGTATAAATATATAGTGACGGGCCTATATTTTTGGGCTCCTGAAGCTTAAACAGATATTGGGGCCCTTTTGCAACCAGTAACAATAGATTCAAAGATCCAACTGCCAAAATGTAGGCTCGAAATAGATTCTGGTAAGCTCAATGAGCCCATACAGCTAGTGGTTCAGGCATTGCAAGTTGCCAAGAAAAATTTTGAAATTTGACCAATTACAAGGAAATTTTGAGTCTATATGATATGGATCATGTACTAAGGCCAACATTAGGTACTTCAAACCCATTGGCTCTATCTCTAAAAAGGACTTAATAGGAAACATTAAAAAAGTTGTTTCAGATGACCCTCTGGGATTAGGGGCCATGCAGCTTAAACTTCATTAGTTTCAAAGACGATCTGTCATTGTATATATACAAATAACGATATTTTAAATTAAGGATATAAAGTCCTCAGATTAAAATGTAAACTGTCTGAAAGGCATCTTGTTGAAAATAAGATACTCCTATCTTATTACTTTGAAGGTTATATTCAGTGGATATACATGTTTGAGCAATCATCCTGGTTTTTTTTTTTTAAAACAATGTTAAATTGATGTAATGTAATTTCTAAGGAATTAATGGATTTTATTTATAAGTCAACATTATTTCTTATTATTTCAAACATTATATTTTGTCGCCACATGGTTTTTGAGCTGACATACATGTTTTTTATTTTCTTAAGCAGTAAAATCGATCTAGGCCAGTTGTTATTAATTCCAATGTTTAAGAAAAAAAAACAGGGATGTCAACTCAAAAATGTGTACCCACTAAAACTAATGTTATAGTAATTATATATTGTTATCTTATATCACACACACACACACACATATATATGTGTGTGTGTGATATAAGATAACAATATATATTTTTATATATCAAGAAACAGTATTGAGGAAATTGTAAGACAAAATGGAAAAAGTTTACACAATCAGTTCTCAAGACATTCAAAATGGGTTGATACAGTCTGTTCATACATACATATGTATAAAAAAAAAGTTTACTTGTGATGTGTTTCATCCATTAGGAAATAATTTTTTTAAATAATTTTTTTTTCAACCTAGCCAAATTCATCTATATTCTTTTTCTTTCCATCATCTTTGTTTTTAACTATCCCACATTGTAATAACAGAAAATCTGCCAGAAGCAGTGATATGGACATAAATTTATTGTGGCTGAAGTATGATGAAAAGAAAAAGAATATAGATGAATTTGGCTAGAGTGCAAAACATTATTTCAAAAACATTCTTTCAAAATTTTGAAACTACCAGCATCTCTTGTTCATGTGTAGTCATAACAACATCAACAAACCCAGTCTGATGAAATACTAATGGATGAACTGCATCTCAAGTAAACTTTTTCATATATATGTATGTATATCTATATATGAACAGAATGTATCCATCCATTTTGAATATCATGAAAACTGGTTGTGTAGCCTTGAAGTAACTTATCAATAAATCAGAGGGGATGTTAGTGCACATGAAGAAACAGACATTCTCCTACAGGATTACTCAGTAGTAACATGCAATTGTGTGAGTTTATTTACTATGTGACTTACAAGCCATTGCAAGTGAATTTCATTCTTATTGGGTACCTCATTATTATAACACTGTGATGAGCTTTTTATTGAACATTTCTTTCAGTTATTTTAGTATGAATTCAGAAGGTATAAAAGAAAATACTAGGAGAAATACTGTACCAAAATAAAGGAGTAATATTTAATTGATTGACTGATTCATTCATTCATTCATTTTCTACAGTTTATCAACCTTTTGCAGGTTATTTAAAACCAAAAAATATTTCTAGACTGTAAGAAAATTTTGGGTAATAATAATGATTTAGTGCTACAAGTCTTACTAATTAACCTATAACTGGGGAAGAGAAGTGGTGGATTCACTCCTTTCCCATGGGTATTTGCATGTATGTGAATATAATGAACACAACTGGAATTAGAACTCTGCTCTTATTAACAATTCCAAACCATTATCTGTTACATCACCAGCACATCCAAGCTTACAGCACCTGGTATTCCCAAGTGGTCAACCATCTAAATACTGACCAGGCTCAATGTTACTTTGGTGAGTGTACGGGAACTGGTGTTTCAACATGATATGGCCATAAACCCAGTAATATTTAAATGCCTCAATATAATTTTATATTTGTAAAAATACTTGAGTGAATGTGGTGTTCAAACTTGAACAAACAAGGATCAGGAGGAAAAAATAAATATAAGTTAAACCATTTCACAAGAGAATAATAACATACAGCCTTGTTTGTCTCCAAAGATTAAATAAAGTGAAATAAAAACATCCTGTTAAATATATTTATCTTGTATTTCATAATAAAATATTAAAAATAGGATAATTTATATCTGTGAAATTTGTCACCTTCTTCCTTGTTTGAAAACTTTGAGGAATTTCAAATATTGCATCTTTTTGCATACATACACTCATCTAACTGCAACCTATTCACTAGCCTTATTTGTTATTATTATTATTATCATCATCATCATCAGTAATGATCAGCTCATCATATAAGGAAAAATGGGAAGCAAAGAAATCAAAGAGGAAATCAAACAAGGGACACCAAAGATCAAAATGGAACATATTAATCTCAGATGAACAAAAGGATAAAAGATTTTGCTTTTATCATTTGATCTGAGTCTACTTGTAATGATTTAATGTCTACATCAATGTTGAACAGTATTTGTTTAATAAAACTGTTCTTTGAAAATGAAATTTCATCATTTAATATTAGCTGTATTGTAACCAAGAGATGCTTTTGGTCAAATTACCATAACAGGCAGATTTCATTAGTATTGCAGTTGATAAAAACTTTAACAGAAATACACCAACTGTTGCCTCTTTGGCCGAAAATCACTCCCCATGAAAATATATTTAATTTTTATTATAAGTCTTTTTTTTTCTTTTAGTGACAAGAAAACAATAACATGTAGATAAGAGGACAAAGAAAACTCAAAGTGCTAATACTTAATATCTTAATTACATCGTAATTGCTTTCTATGTGGAATTAGAGATTTAAAAAAAAATGTTTAAAGTTGGGTATAAAACTTTTTTTAATCATTTCACCCCAAGTAAGGCTATAGTGACATTAAGAAGCAGGAGGGTACAGGGAGTGAAAGAGAATGAGAAGCTTTTAGTGAGGAAAGAACAATAAATGAACAGGAAACAAGAAAATAGCAATTGACATTGCATTTAAATTGAAGATTGTAGGTGGAAGGAAAGCAAGAAATCAGAAGGGAGTTCTACAGGCGAGAAGTGTGAGAAAACAAACTGTTAGTACAGAAATGGTATTTACATCTAGCTAGTTCAATAATAAAATGGTGAGATCTAGTTGTCAATCTAGTTGTATGCTTAAATTCATGTTGTCAAGGCACTAGGGAAAAAGTTCTTTGATTTCAATTAAACTTTATAAAAGTACAGATAATTTCCTGCTGTAACTTAAACACTATAAAAGAAAATTATTTTGACCTTAAAATAGCACATTCTCTATAAGCTTTCAATATGAATTCTTTAATAAAAATCTCCACCCATACATTTTCTTAATTATGCCTATCTTCAAAGAAACGATACTGTCATAATAGTAATAGTGAAAAGCACTCAACAAACCTTCTTCAAAAGTAAAAGCAAAAACAAAAAGACTTTTATATATATTTTGTAATTATCTCAACTTTGTCAAACAGTGCACATCAGACTTATATGAAGTGCATTTGATCTGTGAAGTGTATACTGTCAGATTCTGCAAGTAATTTGGACATTTCCTCTTTTGTCAATGATGCTTATTGAATATTTTCCTGCTATATGTTTAATTGTTTTCGTACATTTCTTTGCAGGATCTTGAGTAAAGTACAGCCTCAGTGAACTTGGCTCTAGCATAATCATGTGCTATAGCACAAATCTATACTGAAGTGAGTATTGCATATTTAATAAATAAAAACATGTAAAGAGACTGAATTCAGTGAATAGTAAATGGGGAAATATTTATCCACATTCAAATGCACTAATTATGGCTGAGAGCCAAACTACCTATTTATATATGTTTTAACTAGAACAGCCTCCACACTCACACACACTGAAAGTTTATTAATAAAGAGAACATTTATATATTTTGTAACCAATGAAAAACAGAGGACCCTAATACTCAAAAATCTCAGCTGAATGACAAAATATTAGATATAAAAACAAATAGACATGTTTTTAAAAAGAAAGTTGACGGAGCAAAATAATTTTGTAAACATATATATGAATATGAAGTTATCTAAAGAAGAATCTAATAAAACAAAAGCAGAATTTTGAAAAAAGTTTGTTTATTTAACGTGGCAAAATAAATGAATATGAGAAATTTTGAATGAAAAACAAAGGCAAAAAAACACATTGTATTAAACACAAGTATACATTTTCAGAAATTTTTTACTCAGTTTAAAAAGGACCCTACTTATTTGAAACAGCAAGATTACAAATACTCTCAGGTAAAGTTTGTTTAGATTTTTTTTTTTTTTTATAAATATTTCTCTCTTCATTCTTAATGAAAGGTAATATTTTTATAGTTTATCAGTATATTGAAATATAATAAAGTCCTATCAAACAGAGAAGTATAATAGATTAATTAACACCTTAAAATGTATTACCGGGTAGGTCTAGTTAGCACTTTTACTCTGAAAATTAGAAAAGTTTTGAAATGTAAATTAGAAGAAATCTGCAATCGCAAAACATTCAGTTCATTTCTATCCTTTAATATCATGAAAAATTAAATATTCTAGTGAAATTTATGTACAACATTGAGATTTTAGAGGATAAAACTTAAAAAGAATATTACTATGGGGTTGTGTGACACTATAAATTGTCACTGGTAGTATTTGAAAGGAATGTGACACTATTGTGACTCTGGTAGTATGAAATTAGGATAAAAAGGCTTCATGTGAAAGCCCATATGAGAATGGGAGCATTAGAAGGGAATCACTAAGATGAAAACATGAAATATGGAGCAAGGAAAAAAAGAGAAATGTTTTTTTTCCCCTGATAAACTGATGGACAAATAGAATCTGCAAAGCTGGAATGTAAGCCATTTAAAATATGGAATAAGGAATGTGAAAATTCTTTGATATCAGAAACAAAGGTTTATTATTGGAAAAATTATTGTTGTTGGAGAATGTATTGTTTTGAATAAGTGATTGCTTTGTTTGAGGGTCATTGTTGTTTCTCCAGAATTGAAGAAAATAATTAATTGATATGAATATTAATTGTCGACCGAAAAACAAATTGAACTATTATAAATCACAGTAGCATGGGTAACACCCTTCTCCATGATGGTATCCCTGTAATAGTCATTAAGAAGTGTGCTCCCAAACTGGCTCCTGTTCTCTCTAAACTGTATAATAAATGCTTCGCTTCCCCTTGCTTTTCTGCCTGCTGGAAGTCATCATCTGTTGTTCTAGTTTATAAGAACTCTGGTTAACCATCTGACCCTTCCAATTATTGGCCTATTAGCCTTCTACCTCTTTTTGGGAAACTCCTAGAGGCCCTAATCAACCATATTGCTTGTCTGAGAAAAGGCTGTGTGATGAGAGATGAGATGATCATCCAATTCAGCATTGATTGCAACCTATAGAATTAGTAGGTTAAGAATTGAGAGTGGTGATATATAAGCTGATACTCAAAATTTTAGGGACTATGTAAAAAAAAAAAAAAAGAAGAAAGTTAACAAATTTTAACAACTAATTTCAGTTGTCTTCTATTCTATTTTTGGCATCTGTACAAGAAGCTCACAAAAGGTTATGGCAAAGGTCTCTACTAAATTCAATGCTGTCTGTTCAAATTCCCCAATCTTTTCAATAACATCTCATACAGCAAAATATTCATATGGAACTGTAAAATTAACATTTTCTGTGGCATTAAAAACTATAAAATGAATGCTTTTCCAGGGAATTTTAAATATGAATTTTTCATCATTATTTACTACAAATTAATTTTACTGTTATAGTAAAAAATCTTTTGTATTTAATTATTTCAAGAAAACTTCAGTTTGAAATTTCAAATATTAAAACTATAGTGTGATTTTTTTTTTGTTTAAATTATGTATTATTTTAATTTTTTGGAGGATAACTATTACAAAAAATGCTTTATGTCTTATCTGTTATCAATGTGCCTAATGAAACATAATTTGTGCACCAAATTTAGAAGTGAATTTCTTAAGAAAATTCAGATTTTTATTTAATTATTTTTTATTTGAAATTTAGTAGTCTGATATTTTATTAATTTAGAAAAGTATCAGAAAATATAGTTTATAATACAGACAAAAAAAGAGACTATTTCTTATTGTATTGTGGTTACAAAAAATGTACAACTATGCAAAAATCTCTTTCAATGAAAGAAAGAAATTTCAAAGTTTTATCTTTGAAGAATGAAACAATAGAGGAATTTATAATAAATTATGAAAAGAAAATGAATATTTGTGTTTTTATTGTCAGTTGAATTAATTTAAAAAAAATTAATATTATACAAAATTAATTTTATTTTCTAATTTAGGAACATTTTATGATGCAAATTGCAGAAATTTTCACACTGCACAAATAATAAAACTGACAATGGTGTGCTTGCTATATATTTAGAGACCCTTGATAAAATCCAAAGAATCTGCAATGTTATTGATCCTGAGCTGGCATCTCAGCTTCAGTCACTTTCCCACTGCCATAATGTAGCTTCCCTTTGCCTTTTCTATAAATACATTCATGGTAATTGTTCTGATGAACTTCCCTCTACAGTACTTAGATTTTATGAATTTAAGAGTGGTACTAGATTAGCGGCAAGGTCTCATCATTTTACAGTTGAAATGGCTAAATGTAATTGTAAATTCTATGCTTATAGTTTCTTTTCTTGCACTTCTCACTTGTGGAACTCTCTTTCAGCTTCTTGCTTTCCAGTCAACTTTGATCTTCAAAAATTTAAATGCAATGTCAATCATTATTTTCTGTCTTCTTCGTTCCTGTTCTTTTATTTTTCCCTCTCCTTATTAATTTTTCTTCTTTCTCATATTTTTTCATACTCAGTAACCCTTTGAGTTTTAGTGGCTTTATTGCCTTGCATGATAAAAAATGATAAAG